AACTCTAGAGGAAAACATAGCCACAACATTCGATGACATAAATCAAAGCAAGATCATCTATGACCCATCTCCTAGAGTAATGGAAATAAAAACAAAAGTAAACAAGTGAGACCTGATTAAACATAAAGCTTTTGCATAGCAAAGGAAACCATAAGCAAGGTGAAAAGACAACCCTCAGAATGGGTGAAAGTAGCAAATGAAACAATGGACAAAGGATTAACTTCCAAAATATACAAGCAGCTCATACAACTCAGTACCAAAAAAACAGCCCAATCAAAAAGTGGGAAAAGACCTAGACAGACATTTCTCGCAAGAAGACATACAGATGGCTAACAAATACATGAAAAGATGCTCAACATCGCTCATTTTTAGAGAAATGCAAATCAAAACTACAATAAGCTATCACCTCACACCAGTCAGAATGGCCATCATCAAAAAGTCTACAAACAATAAATGCTGGAGAAGGTGTGGAGAAAAGGGAATGCTCTTGCATTGTAGGTAGAATGTAAATTGATATAGCCACTACGGAAGACGGTATAGAGATTCCCTAAAAAACTAGGAATAAAACCACCATATGCCCAGCAATCTCACTCCTAAGCATATACCCTGAGGAAACCAAAACTGAAAAAGACACATGTATCCCATTGATCACTGCAGCACTATTTACAATAGCTAGAACATGGAAGTAACCTAGATGTTCATCAACAGACAAATGGATAAAGAATTTGTGGTACATATATGCAATGGAATATTACTGAGCCATAAAAAGGAATGCATTTGAGTCAATTCTAATGAGGTGGATGAACCTATAGCCTATATACAGAGTGAAGTAAATCAGAAAGAGAAAGATAAATATTGTATACTAATGCATATATATGGAATCTAGAAAAACGGTACTCTGTATCAACCTAGAGGGGTAGGATGGGGAGGGAGATGGGAGCGGGTTCAAAACGGAGGGAATATATGTATACCTATGGCTGATTCATATTGAGGTTTGACAGAAAACAACAAAATTCTATAAAGCAATTATCCTTTAATTAAAAAATTAATTTAAAAAAACTAAGCAGAGGATATAAGAAGACAATTCACAGAAAAATATAAGTGCTCAAGCCTTTGCACAACTTGAAATTAAAATGAGATACCCATTTTTCACATATCAAATTGACAAAGATAAGAGTTTGATGACTAACATCATATACAAAAATAAAATCAAAATGGAGTAATGATCTAAATCTAAAACCTATATATTTCCTAGAGGGGAACATAAGCAGAACACTCACTGACATAAATTGTAGCAATATTTTTTTGGATCCATCTCCTATAGTAATGGAAATGAAAAGAAAAATAAACAAATGGGACCTAATTAAACTTTTACACAGTGATGGAAACCATAAACAAAACAGAGACAAACTATGAACCAAGAGAAAATATTCACAAACTATGCTACCAATAAGAGATTAATTTCCAAATTATACAAACAGCTCATATAGCTTAATATCAAAAAACAATCCAATCAAAAAAATGGGCAGAAGACCTTAACAGACTTTTCTCCAAAAAACACATACAGATGGCCAACAGGCACATAAAAAGATGCTCAATATAGTTAATCGTTAGAAAAATGCAAATTAAAACTACAATTAGGTATCACCTCACACTGGTCAGAATGGCCTTCATCAAAAGGTCTGCAAATAATAAATAATGAAGAGGATTTGGAGAAAAAGGAACCTTCCTACACTGTTGGTTGTGATGTATATTGGTGCAGCTACTAGGAAAACAGTATGGAAGTTCTTTTAAAAATTATGAATAGAGTTCTCATATGATCCAGGAATCCCACTCTGCACAGAAAACTCATTTGAAAAGATACATGGATCCCAATGTTCACAGCAGCACTATTCACAACATCCAAGACATGGAAGCAACCTGAAAGTCCACTGACAGATGAATGGATAAAGATGTGGTGTATGTATATAAAGAAATATTTCTTAGCCATTAAAATAAGAATGAAATAATACCATTTGCAGTAACATAGATGGACCTAGAGATGATCATAACATACTAAGTGAAGTAAACCAGACAAAGACCAGTATCATCTGGTATCACTTATATGTGGAATCTAAAAAACTTGATACAAATAAACATTTACAAAACAGAAACAGATACACATAGAAAACACATTTATGGTTATCAAAGGGGATGGGAGGTCAGCAGCAAGGGAGGAGGATAAATTAGGAGTATGGGATTAACACATACACACTAAATATACAAAACAGGAAAACAAGGACCTAATATATAGCACAGGGAATTACACTCAATATCTTATAATAACTTATAAAGGAAAATAAGCTGAAAAAGAATATACATGACTTGCTGTAAACTTCAAAAATAAAATTTTGACGATACCTAATGTTACCAAAGGTGTGGACAAACCAGGAACTCCCAACACTGTCATGGAAATGTACAAACCTTTTGAAGGAGAAATGTAGTAATATTTGTCAAAATAAGTATTGCATAAACTTAGAAATTACACTTCTAAAAATTCACACTACAAAAATCTAGTAAACAAAGATATAAGGCAAGATGTTTTTTGCAGTGTTGTTAATAATAGCAAAAAAATAAAACCTGTAAGTAGCCTAAATGTCCATCAACAGAGAGGTTAATAATAGCAAAAAAATAAAACCTGTAAGTAGCCTAAATGTCCATCAACAGAGAGCTGGCTAGATATGATATATCTAGAGATACAGATGTACAAAGAGATAATTTATAGAAATGATTATTTTCCCCCTTCTTCATAACATACAATAAAATGTCGTGTTTAGATAGGATCTGCTGAAGTCTGACAGACTATTTGTCTTGTGTGAAACAGTCACAGAGAGTTCTTATGTATGCTGGTATTTCTTTGCTGGTAGGTGATACTAAGATTAGAATGCCTCTCTGTATCATGTAGCAATTTTTTCTTATTATATTGGATGCTGAAGAAACATAATTAAGCTTATTAACACTGAAAAGTGAGGGAAAAAAATGGCCTGAGTTAAGGAATAACTAAAGTAGTTCTGCTTTTCATAAAGTATGAGTTTGTTCAAAAATTCTGACATTAATTTTAGCTGCAAAGAAACCTCTGTCCTTAAAAAAAAAAAGAAGAAAGAAAATTTTGTCCTTAGCTATAGTTTAGATGGTGTGGTTGCTGGGGTATCTATCTATTTATGGATAGTAGATATTCACATATTATTTTTATTCATAAATAATAAGCATCAATGGCAGAAAGTGAAGAAGAACTAAAGAGCCTCTTGATGAAAGTGAAAGAGGAAAGTGAAAAAGTTGGCTTAAAAAGCAACATTCAGAAAACTACAATCATGGCATACAGTCCCATCACTTCATGGGAAATAGATGGGGAAACAATGGAAACAATGAAAGACTTTATTTTTGTGGGCTCCAAAATCACTGCAGATGGTGATTGCAGCCATGAAATTAAAAGATGCTTGCTCCTTGGAAGAAAAGCTATGACCAACCTAAATAGCATATTAAAAAGCAGAGATGTTACTTTGCCAACAAAGGTCCGTCTAGTCAAACCTATGATTTTTCCAGTAGTCATTTACGGATGTGAGAGTTGGACTACTGAGCACCAAAGAATTGATGCTTTTGAACTGTGGTGTCAGGAGCTCTGAGGGTTTTGAGAGTCCCTTGGACTGCAAGAAGATCAAACCAGTCAATCCTAAAGGAAATCAGTCCTGAATATTCATTGGAAGGACTGATGCTGAAGCTGAAACTCCCAATACTTTGGCCACCAGATGCAAAGAACCAACTCAATGGGAAAAGCCCTGATGCTGGGAAAGATTGAAGGCAGGAAGAAAAGGGGATGACAGAGGATGAGATAGTTGGATGGCATCACCAATGCGATGGACATGAGTTTGAGTAAACTCCAGGAGTTAGTGATGGACAGGAAAGCCTGGCGTGCTGCAGTCCATGGGACTGCAAAGAGTTGGACACGACTGAGTGACTGAACTGAACTGAATAAGCATCAAATCAAGCGAGTGTGTCTTTGTCTAGGTCTTCACCCTTTGGCCAAATCTACAGATTTAAATCATTTGGTTCAGTTCAGTTTAGTTCAGCCATTCAGTCGTGTTCAACTCTTTGCAGCCCCATGAATTGCAGCATGCCAGGCCTCCCTGTCCATCACCAACTCCTGGAGTTTACTCAAACTCATGCCCATCGAGTTGGTGATGCCATCCAGCCATCTCATCCTCTGTTGTCCCCTTCTCCTCCTGCCTTCAATCTTTCCTAACATCAGGGTCTTTTCAAATGAGTCAGCTCCTCGCATCAGGTGGCCAAAGTATTGGAGTTTCAGCGTCAACATCAGTCCTTCCAATGAACACACAGGACTGATCTCCTTTAGGATGGACTGGTTGGATCTCCTTGCAATCCAAGGGACTCTCAAGAGTCTTCAACACCACAGTTCAAAAGCATCAATTCTTCAGTGCTCAGTTGGTTAAGGTTTCATAAATAAATATACCAGTACCACTGTAGCATTTAACAAGAGCTATTCCAAATGGAGGAAGTCACACAATTATGTGTGTGCTGATGTGTGTAAATTAATATGCATTTACATTAAATATATTATATTTATTTATTTATAAATTAAGGGCTACCCTGGTGGTTCACTCGGTAAAGAAGACTGCCTGCAATGCAGGAGACCCAGATTCAATCCCTAGGTTGGGAAGATCCCCTGGAGAAGGAAATGGCAACCTGCTTCAGTATTCTTGCCTGAGAAATCCCATGGACAGAGGAGCCTGGTGGGCTAGAGTTGGACACGACTTAGTGACTAAACCATCACCACCATATATAAATTAAACCACTACCATATATAAATTAAAAGTATACATATATTATACATATATAAAATTTAAAAATATCTGTACTTTAAATTTAAAAAAGCAAATACTTAGCTGTAACTCCAATTTTGAAATGTTTGTCAAAATTAAACAGAAAAATTATTTTTCACTCACTTTAACACATTTTGTACCAAGATCCCAGCAACCACTCCCATAGTAGTAGGAAGACTGGCTGCACAAACACCTTCTCGTTTCAGAGTCTTCTCATCAATATTTGCAGCAACTACAAGTGGTGGAGCACACTACATGAGAAAGAATAAAAAAATGTGTATTTCAAAAGAAAGGGAAAGAAGTATTCAATGTTCCAAGTAGTATTCCACCACATTCAAAGTTTGGTTTTCCTTTGAACTATAAATATTTTCTCAAAGAAACGCTAGTACTTAACAATGAAAAATAATAACTCGAAATGAATCATACATACCGCAAAACAAGCAGATTCTCCGGGAATTATGAGCTGTATATGCCCTGAAACTGCATTTTCACTGACCCCAGACTCCATCCATGTTTGTCCAAGCTCATTACAAGCCTTAATAGAAATAAGTGAAAAATAAGAAAGAACATTAGAAAAAAAAAGTAATTTACCATAAGGTTTTTTCATAAAAAACTGGAGTTTAATTAAATGAATTACAAAGAGTTTTTAAAAATAAATTTTAAGAAACAAGAAAACTGTAAATAATGAAATTACTTAGCAATTGGCACTCTCCTTAGAAACGTAACTGATAGCATTCAGGTAAGCAGTCAATAAATACCTAATTAAACTGAACCAAAGTGTACTGGTTACGTTAGATTAACGTAAAACACTTTTCTAAAATAATTTTAGCAATAAGAAATTGCAAAATGTTATTTGCAAAGTTGAAAACACAATAATTCAAAAGAAAGAGAATTCAGTTTTATTTTTGAGAAATCATGTGTGTAAGCTATTAATATATATTTATACATTTACTTATAAAAGTAACAAAAGTTAAAACCAAGGCTGACCAAGAATAAGACAGTATTATAAAATATTCATTTATTTAAAAAACCGTACATCAGAATTATCTGCTGTCTAATAGTTTCCTCTAGTGGCCTAAGACAGAGTAGGATACTGAAACACATGCCTTACCAGCAAGGCTAGACAGGTCCCCTTGGAATAAATTTTAAAAATAGGATGAGATCACATTAAAAATAAATAAAACACAGTATCAAAGGGCTTAAATGAAGAACTACTTTCAGAATGTGGAATATATACTAACAGAATACACAGGAAAATAGCTAAACCCATGAGTAGAACACAAGATACTCACTGTATTTATTGTCATTCGCGCTTCAAAATTATCCACACAGCTAAGAACTAGGTCAACAGGTTTTCCTTCTTCTAATCCACCATTACTAGGCAAAGAAAATAAATTTTATTGGAAAAAAATCAAGACACAAAACACAATCTAATTAGACTTTATTTGTTCATTCAACACATTTAGTCTTTCAGTAAATTTTGGAGTATAATTGTAACATAAAATTTAATATTAAAGACCCAGTATATATTAAGTATTCACTGTTACAAACATAATATCAATGATATTACAGTATTTCTTATACTGTAAAGATGTACAGGGGTATAAGAAATATGAACTGTGTTCACAAAAATTACCATTTCTCTGTCAGCTTTTATAGACTTATTCATGTTTCACTACAAATGTAAATGTAATAAAAGTTAATTGAATACAATTTCAATAGTTTATGTCTGCAGAAAACCATATTCAGATAGAAATATAACCTATAACACAGAACTTATAATGGAGGACCCCTTGCTATATCATTATAACAGACACTGTGAGGCTTATATTTTATTTTGTTGTTACTATTGTTTTATGGACCATACATACTATTTACTGAGCTACCACTATATAAAAATTACACAGAATATTAACTATTTTAAAAATAAAATATATATCAACCTTCTCATTGAATAAATTGATAGATTTCTAATAATACTGAAAGTGAGCTGGACATTGTGCAAAATACTCATAAATAAAATTTTACCTTATTCTATTCATGAAATGTTTAAAGTTTTCTACTGTGGTTATATTGTAGTTGTGTGCTTCAAAAAGAACATCAGGATTAATGTTCCTAGAGGGAAAAAGAGAATGATTATAAAAACTACAAGTAGAACAGTAAAAGAAAGCAAGAAAAAGCACTAAAAAGAGCTAAAGATCATTTAACAGATATTAGAGAAATGGAATTCAAGCAATTTAAAGAAAATCCAAAATCCTCTTCTACCTCTTTTATCCCACTGCAAGGACCAAGTTCAAAACATGTAGAGTATCAGGAGGATTACAAAAATATTCCCACAGTCTATGTGCTGGGAATTAGGCCTTTATCACCTCTGTTAACTACACGGTTCAGTCTAACAAAAGAGCTTCTTTGCTTCTTATTCAATTCAGTGCAAGAACGTTTAGGAACATAAAGAAACATCCAAGAGTAAGAGCTGTCAAACTAGGTCCCTTGGGCCAAATCTGACTACCACCTTGCTACCTTTTTTTGTACGGTCTGCAAACTAAAAGTAGTTTTTATATTTTTAAATGGCTGCAAGCAAAGAAAAAAATCAAAAGAAGAACAATATTTCATGATGTGAAAATTATAAGAAATTTAAATTTTAGATTCCATAAATAAAGTTTTATTGGCACACAGTTTTGCTCATTCACTTTTATATTGCCTACAGCTACTACAACTGTATAGCTGAGCAGTTTTGACAAAGACCATATGGCCCTCAAAGCCTAAAATATTTACTATCTAGCCTTATAAAGAAAAAGGCTGCCAATCCACATCTTTATGAATAAGTGAAACCTGCCTGCATTTTTATAGAGGAAAATTCAGTTCCATTTATAAGTTAAGTGACTGAATACATACAGGAAGATTTCACCAATTTCACTGCCTTCAACTGCTATTCCATTTACCTCAAAGTATGTTCTGCTGCTTGAACTTTACTTAATCCTGCTTGATGAGGTTGGAAGAAAAGTCTATTCATATTGGCCAGTTCCACCTTGTCATAGTCAAAGAGTAGCAACTAAAATGAAAATAGTGGTAATCTGATGAAAAGTGTACCAAAAAAGAAAATAAAAATGACAAACTAGTCGGCTAATTAAAATTTGATGGGTTTAACTTTTTAACAGTAATAATATTAACTAACTTTGAAAAATTGGATGTCATATATTAACTCATTTAAGGATCACATGCAATAAGTATATAGGTACTCTCCTCATTTTAGAAATCAGACAACTAGGGTACTTGCCCAAAAGCCACTCAGTTAATATGTAGTGAACATGGGATTCAAACTGAGTCCTAACTACAATGCTGTGCTGCCCCTCTAAATGATTAGCTCAAAAATTAATATTCATTCCATTTCATGGCAATTTTCACAAACTGTGCCAAAATCTTACTTCATTCCAATTACTGGCCAAAAGCCAACAACCCATTAGATAAATGAAAATTTTAAATAAGATAAAAACAAATGCTGTAACTTAAAACCATGGTATAATAGTACAATGCCTTTCGTGAATATGGCACTAAATATACTCATGCCATGGCTCAAACATTATTCCAAACAGAATGATTAACCAGTTAATTGATATTTCCTGCTATATATTTAGGCATGACAGCATTTGTCAAACCTGTTCACACAACTTGAAAATGGCCAAAAGGTCCATTTCCTATCAGTAAGAGCAGGTTGAACTCAAAGATATCCAAAGTCCTTTCTTTTTTTTTTTTTAGATTATCTAAAATTAAATTTTTATTGGATGAGACTCAGAGTAGACTAGACATGGAAGGGGAAAAAGAGGATCAATGAACTTGAAAGCACAGAGTGCAATTTATCCACAGTGAAGAAAAAAGAACCAAAAAAAAAAAAAAAAAAAAGAATTGAGCCTCTAGACCTATGGAATAATTCAAAGCAGTGTAAAAGTGATATACTTTGCTATAGTTGCCAAAGTCACTTCTTTATCTAAAATTCTGTGACTTTGTGATACAATTCTCAGTGTTCCAAATCTAACAATAAAAACAAAAATGGGATGTTCTTCTCAATACGGAAACTAAAGAAAGTTAACCCAGCCCTTAATATCTTGCTAGAAAAGATATCACTTATATTCTCTATAACTTTCTAACCCTACTTAGTCTTTCCAAAATTCGGTTTATTTAAGCTCATTCAAACAATATTGGATCAGGCCAATTATTATGTCTGAGTTTCAGCCTCATAGCTATATGAGTAAGTTGTAAGAAATCCTAAATTTAAGGACAGGAGGTGTGAGTTGTAACTCTGTCAATAATTAGCTCTGATTCTGGGTAAGTTACTTTAACTGTTTAGGACTGTATCCCCATCTGTAAAATAAGTAGTTGATCTAGATCTAGTGATCCAGGGTACCCCAGGAACTCAGGAAATTTTCAGGGATAAGAAGTGGGCTTTGGATCTCCAATCCTCCATTTCCCTACTTAACCACATGAAATAGCTTCTTGTTTCTCTGTTTTATACATTGAAGAAAGAGTTCTGAAACTTACCTATGCAGATTCTTAGCTTACAAACTTGAGTACACTTGGAATCACTGTATTTAAAAATACAGATGTATGGGTCTTATTCCCAGAGGTTCTGATTACCTATTATGGGGTGCAGTCTGGACATAAGAATTTTTTTTTTTTAACATCCCAGGTGATTCTAACTACAGCAATATCATCTGGAGTTTGTGTTAAAATACAGATTCTGATTCAGCATGTCTTGAATGGGACCTGGGAATCTTCGTTTCTAACAAGCTCCCATGTGATGCTGGGACCAGACTGAATAAGCAGTTCTTAAAGCACAGTCCCTGGAATATCATCAGAACCACCTGGGAACTTGTCAGAAATTCTTAGGTCCATCTGAAACCTACAGAATCAAAACCACTGGGTTAGAGTTCACCAATCTATGTTTTAATAAGCCTTCGAAGTGACTCCAGGGCACACTCAAACCAGGGACCCACAAATCTTCATGATCTCTACCACCCTTGGTCAATCAACCAGGGCATGTCAGCTATAAGCAATTGTTGACAGGCATTTATAAACTTCTTGAAAGATATTAAAATGTTAATAAACATTTTTTTAGTAGTTTGGTGTTGTCTTTTCTATATTGATAAGTAAGTGTCAATTTTGAAACCACTTTAAGAATCTGGGGCATGGAATGGACCAATATATTAAAGAGCATTGATAAAGTAAGCATTTTCCCACAAAGTCTATCAAAATGATACACAATTGTGGAAAACTTTTATATTCAACCACTATCTATCTAACATCATGGACTTTAGCTTTATAAATATAAGACTGGTACACTGGTTTCTGGTATATAAAGTCAACTTCTCCTTCCTCCTCACAATCACAATCTAAATCAATTTTAGAAAAAAGTATGGAACTTCCTGGTGCTCCAGTGGTTAGGACTTGGTGCTTTCACTGCCATGGCCTCAGAGTTCAATCCATGGTAAGGGAACTAAGATCTCACAAGCCTCACAGGGCATGACCAAGAAAATTTAGAAACAAAAAAAAAAATGCCTGGGTTAAAAAAAATCTGGAGCATTCAGCAGTTCAATTTAGAGAGTAAGAAAGGTACATGCTTTCCAGTTTGTCTTGTATAAAACAAGTTTTTAAAAAAATTTTGGGGATGTTTCAGTGTTTCACTACACTTTCAATTTAACAGCCTTCTTTCCTAAACTTCTTTAATTAAAACACTGAAATCCAAATTGTTTATACATTATCCCAAACAAAAAAGTTCCTGAACACAATCAGATAGTCCTTATTTAATCAGCAGCAATATTAGTTTCCTCTTGGGTGGGTTTATGTCTTAACTGGGGTAGAAAAAACAATCTGAATGAATACACCACAATTCAATATGCCATTAGTAAGGAGAAAAAAAAATCTTAATTTGTACCTTATTTACTCCACAAGTGAATGGGTTCCGAATACAACAGAAAACGAGAAATGCTCTTACCTTGCCAATGCCACATCGTGTCAGCATTTCAGCAGTCACACTGCCAACTCCACCAACACCTACTATTGCTACAGTAAAGGTACGGATTTTCTGTAAGATGGAAAATTATATATGTGTTGGTTAATAATTCTTCACTGAAAATGTCATTGAAAATTATTTTCATTTACATCTTCAAAAATTTGGAAGAGTTTATCATACCTCATAGTCACTCACAATTCCCATTCGTTTCAAAGCCATCAGGCGGCTTAAAAAAAAAGAAAAAAAAAGTTTTAAAGTTTACAGTCTTTTAATTAATAGTGACATAGGTAAACATACATCATCACAGAAAATAAACTGTAAGAGAAGAAACAGTGAGGGGAGTGGGGATAAAAAAAAAGATGTTTTAAAGTTTACAGTATTTTAATTGATAGTGACATAGGTAAACATATATCATCATAGAAAATAAACTGTAAGAGAAGAAACAGTGAGGGGAGTGGAGGTGGGAGGAGAAATCTTTCAGTTAATTTTTACCAGATGAAACTAAATCACCTCAGCAAATTTAAAAAGCATGGATGCCTGAATATCCTCCAAGACAGAGCCTGTGCAATAAGATTTTTTTAAAAGTTCCTCATACATTCTAATGTGCAGTCATGATTGAGACCTACTGACTCAAATGTTAAGTTTCCAGATGAGAATGGATCAAAGTGAAATTTCAGCATTTTCCCATGCTTATTAGTTTATGTAAATACTTAATGTTTGATTCAGATTTAATATTTAACATCAGAATAACCTCATGACTGGAATTCTATTCACTTGTTGCCTCTGCCCACAATGGTAAGTCTTTTAGTAAATGCCTTTATTCCAAGGACTCTAAGAGGTACTTTAGATATTTAGTTACCGCTAGTCTGTTACCTTCTTCGGTCACCAAGCCAATCAAACTTTGGATGTGAGGCCTAACAACCTGTGTTTTAATAAGCTCCCCAAGTGACTGTAATGCACACTTAAGTTTGAGAGCCTTTACTGTAGATTACTTAATTTATTCTTTTGTTATGGTTGGAAGAACATCTTCCCAAAGCTTTGTAAAGGGTAAATTTTGGAAGTAAGTTTTGAGACCTTGTATGTCTGAAATATTCTTCACCAAACTTCTTAAAAACATTTTATCAAAATTTTATTCTTAGAAATATATTATAAAATGACAAACTGAAGGGTATATGATTGTTGAAAGCTATACCTATACACACAGACACAAACACACTCTTAGTTGATAGTTTAACTAGATATATAATTTTACATTAGAAACAATTTTCATTCAAAATTTCTAATGTGATTTCTAGTTTCTGAAACTTCAAAATGTGCCTTAGAGTGAAATTATTCTCATCAACTGTGCTGAATACTTACTGGACTCTTTCCAATCAGAAACATATTTAAGTTCTGGAAAATTTCCTTGAACAATGTGATGACTTCTTTGGTTGGTTGGTTGGTTTTTCCTGAACTTTCTGGAGCTCCTATTATTTGGAAGTTGGACCACTTGGACTAGTCCTCTACTTGTAATGTCTTTCCTCTATTTTCCATCATTTTAGTTTTCTGCTGTTCTCTGGATTTCTTTCAATGTTATTTTCTTTTATTGAGATTTTCACTTTTGTTATCATTCTCCATTTGCAAGAATGATTCTTTTTGTAGTACTGTCCTATTCCATTTATACATATATCTTTCTGAAGATATTAATGATAAGGTTGCAGTTGCATTCCCCTTATATAGTCTATTAATTTTGTTTTCTATCTTTCACATTAGGAGCTTCTCTCATCCTTTTTGCTCATATTTAAAAGTCAGACACTAATAAAGGCAAGGATGTGGGCACTGATTATTTGACTTTGGGCTTCACTATAGTGTGATCTCGGAGAAGGCAATGGCAACCCACTCCAGTACTCTTGCCTGGAAAATCCCATGGACAGAGGAGCCTGGTAGGCTGCAGTCCATGGGGTCACAAAGAGTCGGACATGAATAAGCGACTTCACTTTCACTTTTCACTTTCATGCACTGGAGAAGGAAATGGCAACCCACTCCAGTGTTCTTGCCTGAAGAATACCAGGGATGGCGGAGCCTGGTGGGCTGCCGTCTATGGGGTCACACAGAGTCAGACATGACTGAAGAGACTTAGCAGCAGCAGCATAGCGTGATCTGGCTGGGCTGTTTAGTTGAGAAACCCACAATGTCAATGTCTTTCAGTCTTTCTTCTTGGCACTCTCAGATTCCCTAGAGAAGAATCTTTCAATTTCCAGCCTGAAAAGTCTTTAAGCTGATCAGTTTTGGGGTGTTAAATGGAGAAGCAAAGCTGGGAGTCCTAGCATTCAGTATGTAAACATTTAGTTAATTCCCTTCTTTCAGACATGAAGACTTACTTTTATTATTCATAGAAATACTCTATTTTACTCTCCAATGAGTAAATCTCTAGTAGTCTCTCCTGACAAAGAAGCAGCATTGGCCTCGCTACTCAAAAGTAAAACAATGAACTTGGGTTGCTTCTTCCAACAGATTTTCAGCCATCTCGTTTAGCCCTACCTTAAGCCGTTCTTGAAAGACCTATGCTTGTTCTTGAGCTTTGAGAGAATTCTATTGTATGAGTTGGGTTGCAGGCTTCAGGATCCAATTTCTTGGATCCTTTAAATCAGGATCATCTATCAGTCATCTGTCCCTTTCTAGTTTCTAAAACTGTTTTACTAAATCATGTAAGTACAGAGACTCACCCATCCCCCAATTATTAACAGAAACTCTATTTTTTTTTCTCAGTGGCGATTTATTCCTTTTTAAAAATTATTCCTTTACTTTCATTTCAGTGAGATTGGGTAGACAGTGATATATGTCTGTGATCAATCTGCCTCCTTACCTTGATGCTGTCTAATCCTTATAAATAACCCTGAGAAGAATGCATTGCTGGAGAAGGAAATGGCAACCCACTCAAGCATTCTTGCCTGGGAAAGCCCATGGACAAGAGGAACATGGCAGGCTACAGTCCCTTGGGTCACAAAAGAGCTGGACAGGACTTAGCAACTAAACAACAACAGCAACATCCAATTGGTTCAGCAACACTTGTTGCAAAAACAATCTTCTCCATAAATTGCTTTGGTAACTTAGTTAAAAATCAATTGACCATATTTGCATGGGTCTTCTACCAGACTTTCTATCCTAGTCCATAGAGATATTTGTCTAGCTTTATACTTACAGTCTTATTCTCTGCAAATTTAAAATGAAATTTTAAAATAACGTTTCCTTTCCTTAAAAAAAAAAAAAAGAATGCATCACAACCTCCTTTTATAAATGGGGCCGGGTGGTGCGGGGGGGAGGGGAGATTCAGGTTAATTAACTTGCCCAAGATCAGTTAAATGGCAAACAATTATTCAGGGCTCGGTTTTGGAGCTAGTATTTAAAACCAGGTTTTCTAATTTTAAAGACTCTGCTCACCTTTTCATTTAGTTAACATGCTTCTAATTATATTCTTTTGCACACAATTTTACAGTTACTTGTGTTCATCATTATTCTACAACCACTGAATCTCCCAAATTAAAACAAAAGGTCTTTGAGGGTCAGGAACTTTGTATTTCAAAATGTCACTCGGTGCAATTAAAATAACGTAGAACACCTACAAATCCCTCTATATTTTTCTGATAATCATGTGCTGTGCTTTATCATAATTCTTACCACTTATACTCTAATCCCAAGTTTACCTTTGTATTTCACACTTATCTGGTAACCTCTGGAGGGAAATGACCATGTATTTGTATTCCCAGTGTCTGTGCAAATAATAAATGGTAAATAACATTATTCAGGAGGGCTGGAAATGAAAAGGTGCTCACTAAATATGTGCTGAATGTACAACAATTCAAAAAATAAGGATGACCTTATCAAATTTCCATGAACTAGTACAGAGCTTTGGGTGTCAACTGCCATCTCCAAAGTACCAGTTTTAATAAAGACAAAATGGTACAAATAAGATAGAAAATACTAAATGTTTAAATTTCAGTACTGAAAGATTTGTGGTTATTATAATGTCAAGAAATTGTCTCACATTAAAATGATGTCTGAAAGATGATTCTAAATATATGATTCACATTCCTTTGCTTTTCTCAGAGGGAGCATTTCAAAATTTTCATTTTTAAAACTGAAAAATGTTTAAGCATGCCAAAAGGAATGAAAGTGACTCATGCTTAGTCATGTCTGACTCTGTCACCTCGTGGACTGTACCCCACCAGGCTCTTCTGTCCATAGAATTCTGCAAGCAAGAATACTGGAGTGGGTAACCATTCCCTTCTCCAGGGGATCTTCCCCCCAACACAGGGATCAAACCTGGGTCTCCTGCATTGCAGGCAGATTCTTTACCATCTGAGCCAGGAGAGAAGCCAAGTGGAATAGCTTCTACTTATTCGGATTAATAAGATGGTAAACCTTTCACATGTGTCAAGTAAAATACATGCACTATCGTCAATTATATCTCAAAACTGAAAGAAAACAACTTTTTTTTAATGTAGTAAGATAAATGACAGAAAAGCAAGAATCTGGCATGATTTAATTTAATGTAGGTTAAAATAAACTCTTCTGTAATTATACAACAATTATAATTTTGGTCAGGTTTTCTATGACAAATAATATTGTAATTAACAGCTTTGTGCCTAAATACTGGGTCTGCATTTTATGTTGCAATATATATGAAGTGAAGTCACTCAGTCATGTCCTACTCTTTGCAACCTCATGGACTGTAGCCTATAGGCTCCTCCATCCATGGAATCTTCCAGGCAAGAATACTGGAGTGGGTTGCCATTTCCTTCTCCAGGAGATCTTCCCAACCCAGGAATTGAACCCGCGTCTCCCGCATTGTAGGCAGATGCTTTACCATCTGAGCCACCAGGTAAGTCATGTATGCATATATATGCATCCTAAGACTTTTACTGAGGCTTTATGTCATAAATAAAACCTTTCTTTAAAATCCAAATTTCTGCTCTTTGAAGGGAAAGAGCACCAATAATACCTTTCCTGTTTCACCTACTCTAAAACTGTCCAGTTTTTAGCCACACTATTTAATGGCTTATTTATTTTTACTGGGGAGACAGCTCCATGGGAACTTCGGAGCAAAACAAACCTAATGGCAGTCCAAGCCTTTTTAGCTACTGTTAGCTCTATGGCCTGAGGGAAGTCACAGCACCTAATTTATTTCGTCTATAAAATGGGGGTAAAATGACAGTAGCAATCTCCTAGGGTTGCGGTGAAGAGGAAAAGTAACAACGCGTGCAAGGTGTTTAGCAAGTGGTGAAAGTTCAGTAACTGTTACTATAATGCCTAGCATCGAAAACTCTAAGAATTTTACACATACTTGTATTTTCAATCTTCACAACTCCACAGAAAGAGATACTACAAGCAAGAAAGTGAAGGTACAGAACTCTCACCAGGTTACTCAGTTGCTAAGATTTGACTCCAGTCTGGGCCTAGGGTCCTTACAGTCAGTCATTACCCTACATTCAACCACTACCCTATATTCAACCTGATGAATTAACAAAATCTTGGGAAATGAATCAAGGAGAGGAAATGAAGAGGCGGACAGGACGGGTGAAGTCCAACCGTTTTAGAGCTAATCTAGTTGTTTCCACCACGCCAATTTAAGAAACACAGAAGACTTTATGAAGCTCCCAAGTCTAGCTTATTACATTTGGTGTCCTAGTCTGAAAGTTTCTACTATCAGTTTCATGCCGACCGAGGAAGACTAAAAGAGGCAGGGGCTGCAGGAAAACAGACTCGTGTCCTCGGCAAGCACAGGAGCAGCACCATATGGCTGATTCAGTTGAGTTTTTTTAAAAGGAGAAAGAACACCTTTTGACCAGAACTAAGACTTGGCCTTGCTCGTTTGGAAATAAGACCCTAGAAGAAGAAAAGGGAGGTGTGACCTGTCAGCCGGACAGCTGCGAGAAGCGCCTCACTTCTGACCACCTGGAGACCGTGACCTCGCCCCTCTTCCGTCCCCGACCCGTCACGTAGCTCACCTGTAGGGGTTGGAATCCACCACCTCGGAGCTCATATTTGCAATGCGGGCCCGACCGCCTCCTCCGTCGCCGCCCCCAAGGGCGCGGCGACTTCTCTCCTGGGCCAGTTCCCGCTCCAGCTCTTCGACCCGCTGCTGCAGCCGTTCCACAGACTCGGCCATGGCTGGGACCCCGGCCGCCAGCGCTCCCAGTCCCGGCCGTCGCCGTCGTCGCCGCCCCACGCTGCTGGCCTGCTGGGCCCGAGAGGGATATGTGGCGAGTCACTTTGCTGCGGCTTTCCCAGCCCACAAACCTTGGGAAGCGCTCCCAGCGCGATCCGGACAGACACGTCTCGGCCGCTCCTGCGGGCCTCCCAGCGGGCCACTTCCGGTGTGTTGCAGTCAACGCTCCACCTCAGGAAAAAAAAAAAAGAAAAAGAAAGCCGCCTACTTCCCCTCTTCGCCCAGGCCTAAGAGTCCAGGCAGCCCTAGGTCCCGGGTCATAAGTGTCCAGAGCCAGCGGCCTGCGATGTTGCCTTTCCAACCTGGCGGCCAGGAAAAAAGCCAGAATCTTTTATTCCTAGGCTCGAGGTCTTGACGGGCCCTTTTCTGCACCGGACCCAGTAGGTCTTCCGCCTGCCAGTGCTTTCAATTTGGAGACGGTCCAGGCCCTAGCGTTCTAATGCTCTTGGTGACGAACGTGACTTTGCTTTCTTTAGAATTGAGGTCTCCAACTCTGAGGCTGACTAAAAACTTTAAATTCGAACACACAAGGCCCTTCTAGCATTTCCTGAGTAGAGCCCAAATCCAGAAGCAGCTGGCCCGTGTTGCCGGCCAGCGGCACCTGGCGATGTGTAATTGGCTGGAGCCGCGGGCCCGCCTCCACCCGGACGTCTCGTTCTTGCCCCTGCTGTGGAGTGGCGTTCTAGACATACCGGATCCCAGGAGTCTAGTGGGTTCTGTGACTCTGTGGTCTGAAGCGGTAGCGTAGATCATGAAAAGCGGTGCCTCCCGCGAGCCCAACACGACCGAAGTGCTGCCCCAGCACAAGTTCGACTACAGGTTGTTGGACGCCTACCTACACCAGCACTTGCCCGGCTTTGGGACCGAGCCCGAGACCAAGCTGACGGTTGCCCAATACAGGTATCGACACCAGCCTTCTCCAGCAGAAACAAATCTGTACCGTGTGCTTTTCTTCCTCTGGCCCTGGGTGGTTTTCCAGTTTCCTCCACCCTGTTTCTTTTTCCGCAGTGACATACTCTGTCGGCGGGAGCTGCTGTCACTGGCTCCTGCCATTACATTGTGAGTATTTCCAATTCCAGGGCGGTAATGGAAGCACTGTAACATTCACGATTATAGCTATGAGAAGGAATCTTTGTTAACAGCTATATACTTTGAGAATTCACTGAGGCAGTTAAGATTGGAAGCTCTGTGAGATATAAAGAGGCCGTTCACTCAACCTTTGTTCTAGAACCTTGTTTTCCCAGAGAGGCGGATGTAATTCCCTTCACATTGGCCATATTCTTAGAGGCTTAGTTAATGGTACCAGTTGAGGGATCCGAATTCTTATCCTAGCTATTCCATTCAGCAAATCACAGCACCACTTTGGGCTTTAGTTCTTTTTGAAATAGGGGAATGGAACTAGATGACGGTCCTGAGAGTACTGTCTGTTCTCCACAGTGATCTGCCTCTAGTCTGATGTTGTTGTATAATAGAAGGTAATTTACAAATAAACTTTGCTCTAAAATGGCGTCTTGATAAACACAGAACTATAGAAGCTATCCTGGCTTCCAGAAGAATTAGTTGTGTCACTTACTAACTGGGAATTTAAGTACCGTGGTACATAAACTCTTTGATGACTAGTTTCATAACCTGTAATAAATACTTGCCTGCTCTGTATAATCCTGATGAATGAAGTAATATAGGTGAAAGGGCTTAATGTTGTAACAGCACTGTTTACCAGTGGCTTTATCACAGGGGTTTATATTCCTTGCCTACTGATTTCAGAGAAATTAAAAATAGTGGAAAGGTGATGGATCAGAAAGGGTTTGATGGTGTAAAATGAAAAAGCACTATGTTGAATTCTCTAGCTGTCCAGTGGTTAAGACTCAGTGCTTTCACTGCTGGGGCCATGCAGTGCCCAAATTAAACAACAACCAAAAAATAAAAGGCACTGTGTCACATAGATACTATAGGATGAAGCAGCAGGTGGAATAAAAAATTGGCAGAGGTTTCTAGACTGAATCCTTGTGTAAACAAACTAATAGATAAAAGTTCAAATTGGCTATGGCAATCTGCACAAGTTATTTAACTCTTTTGAGCATTGAATCCTTCTTTGGCAAAGTGGAGATAATATTTATTTCCTAGGGTTGTTTGAGAATTATCTGAGAGTTAATTCTGAATTAAGTTGAATGTTAAATCAGAATTGTGCTTGATAAATGGAAAAACTAGTATAGGACTAGTTAGATAGATAGATAGATAGGTAGTATAGAACTATAGATAGTATAGAACCATCCCCACAGAGAATACACATTTATTTCCAGGACACATTGAAAAGTTATAAAAATTGAAGACATGTTAAGCCATAAAAGAAGTTTCAAAAATTCAAAAACATTATTCTTTAAAAAAAAAAAATTCAGAATATAAATGCCAAAAGTTTAAAAATCAACAGAGGATAGCTAATGAACACATTTTAGAAACTAGTTGATATGCAGATTAAACAGCCAATAATCTACAGAAAATAATGGAGTTTATCAAAGTTCAGTATGCAAAAATCAATCAAATTTGTCAACTTTAGCAACAAAAATGTAAAGATATAAATTTCAGATGAAATTAATAAGAGCATCAGAAATACAGTTTTCTCAAACATTAATAAAGTATTTGCAAGACCTTTGTAAAGGAAATTATAAAACTATTAGAACCTTAGAACTAAATACAATGAAAGATGCCATGTTCATGAATAAGAGAATTCAGAATTGTATGTTTCTGGTTTTTTTTCCCAATTGATGTATAGATTCAGTGCAATGAGACAGTCTTAATTTTTTCCCCTAATTTGAAAAATTACTCCTAAATTTTATGTGCAAGAGTGAAGGGCTAAAAATAAAGGGAAACACTCATGAGGAAGAACAAAGTGGGAAATATGAATTAAGATGGCTTATTTTTTCACAGAGATAGACCGATAAAACAGAAGAGAGAATCCACAAAAAGACCCACATATGTATAGAACTTTGACATATGATGGTGCTGGCACTAAGAATCAGTCTTTGGAGAGTTAGAGGGAGAAGAGATTTTTCAGTAAATTATACAAGGATAATTATTATGTATATGAAAAAAATTGAAATTAGACCCTTTCCTTACTCTTCCTCACACAGTTCCAGGTCGATTACAGAAGAATGGTAAAGGCAAAACTAAACATTTGCGGACTTCCCTGGTGGTCCAGTGGTTAGGAATCCATGTTACAGTACAAGGGACACTGGTTCAATCCCTGGTGCAGGAAGTTCCCACATGTCTCAGAGCAACAGAGCTGGAGTACCACAACTACTGAGCCTGTGCTCCAGCTCCCAGGAGCCACAACTCCTGAGCCTGCAACAAAGAGCAGCCCCCACTCGCCACAACTAGAGAAAGCCCATGTGCGGCAGCAAAGACCCACCACAATTAAAAAATAAATAATAAAAAAATAATCTCTTAAACTGTAAACATTTGGAAGACATATACAAGCTCTTTAGACTATGGAGTGGAGAATAAAGTCTTTAAAAAGACAAAAGCACAAACTGTGAAGGAAATGATTAGAAGAATCCTTAAAAGGAAATAATAGATGAAGATATTTTCAGTGTATACAATGGATAAAAGATTAACCTCCAGAACATATGAAGAACTGCAATAGCTCAACAGAAAAATGAGCAAAAGACTTGAAGACCCTCAGCCTCATTCAGTTCAGTCGCTCAGTTGTGTCACTCTTTGTGACCCCATGAATCACAGCACACCAGGCTTCCCTGTCCATCACAAACTCCTGGAGTTTACTCAAACCCATGTCCATCAAGTTGGTGATGCCATCCAGCCATCTCATCCTCTGTTGACCCCTTCTCCTCCTGCCTCCAATCCCTCCCAGCATCAGGGTCTTTCCCAGTGAGTCAACTCTTCACATCAGGTGGCCAAAGTATTGAAGTTTCAGCTTCAGCATCAGTCCTTCCAATGAACACCCAGGACTGATCTGTAGGATGGACTGGTTGGATCTCCTTGCAGTCCAAGCGACTCTCAAGAGTCTTCTCCAACACCACAATACAAAAGCATCAATTCTTCGGTGCTCAGCCTTCTTCACAGTCCAACTCTCACATCCATACATGACCACTGGAAAAACCATAGCCTTGACTAGACGGACCTTTGTTGGCAAAGTAGTGTCTCTGCTTTTTAATATGCTATCTAGGTTGGTCATAACTTTCCTTCCAAGGAGTAAGCCTCTTTTAATTTCATGGCTGCAATCACCATCTGCAGTGATTTTGGAGCCCCAAAAAATGTAGTCTGACACTGCTTCCACTGTTCCCCCATCTATTTCCCATGAAGTGATGGGACCAGGTGCCATGATCTTAGTTTTCTGAATGTTAAGCTTTAAGCCAACTTTTTCACTCTCCTCTTTCCCTTTCATCAAGAGGTTTTTTAGTTCTTCTTCACTTTCTGCCATAAGGGTGGTGTCATCTGCATACCTGAGGTTATTGATATTTCTCCCGGCAATCTTGATTCCAGCTTGTGCTTCTTCCAGCCCAGCGTTTCTTGTGATGTACTCTGCATATAAGTTAAATAAGCAGGGTGACAATATACAGCCTTGAAGTACTCCTTTCTACACTGTAATAATTGGGGGAAATGCAAATTAAAATGACAAGATACCATCTCATAGCATAATTTTTGACTTAAAAAAAATCTGGTAATATCATGCAGAATATGAGATAACAGGGATTCATCCACTATTGGTGAGGGTGGCACCCTGATGCTGGGAAAGATTGAGGGCTGGGGGAGAAGGGGTCGATGGAGGATGAGATGATTGGATGGCATCACTGACTCAACGAACATGAGTTTGGGCAAACTTGGGGAAATAGTGAAGGACAGTGAAGCCTGGCAACTGCAGTACATATAGGGTCACAAAGAGATGATTTAGTGACTGAACAACAACACAACAACCTTGGAAAACAATTTGGCACAATCTTGTAAAGATGAAAGATCTACATGCTGCATGACAAAGCATTTCTATTCCTAGTTGTATACTCCCAAGGAATTCTTGTACTAGGGTATCAGGAGATAATCTACAAAAATCTTTGCACTTTTTGTAATAGTAAAAATGCAGTAATAAAACAACATTCATCAATTAAAGGATGGATTAATAAATTGTAGTATATTCACATAAAGAAACACCATACAGCAGTGAAAATTATTCAACTGCAACTATATGCAACAACACAGAAATAAAAACTGGACAAATAAACAGTATATTGTTTAAGGGGATAAACTTCAAGGGACTGATAAATGTAAAAATCAGAACGGAAGTTACTCTGAAGAGAGACGGAATTCTTTGGTGGTCCAGTGGTTAGGACTCAGTGCTCTCACTGAGGTGGCCCAGGTTTGATCCCGGGTTGGGGAACTAAGATCTTGTAAGCCATGTGGTGCAGACAAAAAGCAAAAATAAAAAATGAAGGGAAGGATACACAGAGGGCATTAGAGATGGTAATTTTTTCTTTCTTAAATTGTGTAGTGAGAACACTGGTATTTGTTGTGTTACTGTTCTTTTAAATATTATTTTTTTACCTATGCAAAGTTTAAATCATATTAGAAATAAAAATATTTTGACTTAAACAATAGTGAAGATGTTGTATAATTTGATACAACAAACCCTGTGATTTCCAGGTATGTGTATATTATGTGCCTGGCACTGCTTCAATCACTGGTAATTTAACAACAACAACAACAAAAAAGATCCTGCCTTTTTGGAACCTGCATTCTATCTGGAGAAGACAGACAATAAATAAAATCACTTTCTAAACATTATAGTGTATGAGAAAGTGATGTGTATTATGGAGAGAAACAAAGGAGAATAGGAAATGTTTAGGAGGGGGAAGCAGAAAGGCCTCAGGGAGAAGGTGGCATTCAGCAAGGAG